CTAAAATGTACCAATAAATTTAATGAATTTAAAAAAAAGAAAGTAATATTTCTACCTGAATCCAGGAAATAAAATCTAGAATGTGGGGGAAATTTTAATATTTTCCTCCAGAACAGAAATTGAGCTTTCTCTTAATATTTAAAATCTGGTGGACTAAACAACAGGCATAGAGTTTCAGTTGAGTAAGTGCTAGAGATGTATTGTACTGCAGCGTACCTGCAGTCAGCACTTACTGTGTTGTGTAGTCAGCTCTGTGGAAATAGGTTCTGTCTCATGTTTCTTGTCCTCACAACAATAAAGTTAATAAGCATTCTGTTTAAAAAGATCTGATGGTTGCTGTAATTCCTCCCTTTGTTAAATGGGAAAAGGAGCACACTGGGTTTTTGTCATTACGTTCTGACCCCAACACCCCTTGCACGTGAAGCCCCATATGCACGCCGATGCTGTCCAGGTGAATCACAAGCTGTTGGTTTGTCCAGGTGGGCAGGTCCACCGAAAGCCCCATTGACTTCGTGGTCACAGACACCATTTCCGGCAGCCAGAACAGCGACGAAGCCCAGATCACGCAGAGCACCATCTCCAGGTTCGCCTGCAGGATCGTGTGTGATAGGAGCGAGCCCTACACGGCACGGATATTCGCCGCTGGCTTTGACTCTTCCAAAAACATCTTCCTTGGAGTAAGTACTGTTAATGAGTACCTGGCCTGAGAGAAACGCCCATTATTATGATAGGGAGGATTTAAATGGGGCAAAAAATATTTGCAGTGTGTGAGACCTATTTGGTTTTCAGGTGGCCAGTTTAAAAACCTGTTACTAAAAATCTGAAGACTGTGTAACATAACTCATTATTTGTTATATTTGCTATATCAGCTATAATATGGACAGTCACTATTTTGTTGCAGAATATACATTAACATTGTGCACAATGTATTTGTGATGGATTTAAGGGATTTATTTTAGAAGAAAAACAAATAGCCAAATCTAGATCATTAGGATTCAAAGGGAAATGTTAGCAAGCTATTCGTTCATTCAAAAATGTTTCATTGAAGGTTTGTTGTATTCCGTACTAGATGTTATAGATATGGCATCCCGGAGAACAAAGGCCCCTGGCCTCCTAGGATCTCCTTGTAAATGAACCCCAGAGTTGTAGTGAACATGCAGTTTTACTACAGTTTTCTTTTGGATTGGGATATGTTTCGAGGGAGAAAACTCGCTCCTTGTGGCCTCGCAGGTAACAGAAATGTTGCCGCGGCTGACAAGAAATGCAGAGGAAGGCTACTCCAGGGCCCTGTGCATCTGCCTTGCCCACTGTCCCTGCCACCTCCTCCCGAACTGCGCCCAGCAGGGGCTGCCCTGTGCCTCCAGCCCTGCAGCAGGACAGCCTGGTCAGACCCAAGGGGGCCAGGCCGCCCAGTGAGCCAGTCATCAGAAGGGCAGGACTGTTGCTCAGGGGGCGTCCACACTGAGCAGAGTCCATCCCCAGTCCTGCCATATGGCCTGTACCTGGGTTCTGTCACCAGGAAGGAAGAAGAGGATAGTTATGGCAATGCAGGCAGTGAGAGTGTCTGCCTGCCCCTGTGCCCTCCGCCTCTGAGGAGATAGATCCATGTTGGTCGAATGAAAACAAATGGCCACACTTGTTGGCTTAACATGTTCTGTAATTGTGAACATTTGATAAAAAATCTTTTTGTATGATTACCTTTCTTCTGTGTCCAGATAACAGGTGCACAGAGAGCACGTTTATATAATCAGGAGAGAGGGTGGGTTCCTGGTTACCGGGCTGTGCAGCATTGAGGGGAACCTCAGCTTCAGGCTTGCTGTAAGCGCCTGGGAGGAATGTGCCTCCAGGGATAAACCCTTCATCCGTTTTAGCACATCTCTCATAACGTCAGAATAATTGCATCTTTTATCCGGAAAGGATTAGCTTTAAACAAAAATGCAGATTTATCCCTTTCCTCCCCTCGGCCTCTGCCCAGTATCTTGAAGATTCCGGGATCCCTTTGTTGCACACATCACCTTAGCATGTTTTTTATGCCCTCCAGGAAAAGGCAGCAAAATGGAAAAACCCCGACGGCCACATGGACGGGCTGACCACCAACGGTGTCCTGGTGATGCACCCGCGAGGTGGCTTCACCGAGGAGTCACAGCCTGGGCTGTGGCGCGAGATCTCGGTCTGTGGGGATGTGTACACGCTGAGGGAGACCAGGTCGGCACAGCAGAGGGGCAAGCTGGTGAGTGGGCGTCCCGGGGAACTGGCTTGGGCTGCAGGGACCTTCAGCACAGGACCTGACCCCAGCTGGGACCCTGCAGGCTCCCAACCTGCAACTCAGTCATTCAGCTTCTGCCATGGTGGAAGTAGGGAACCCATTATCTACATCTTAAGAGCATCGTCTTTGATCCATACCTCGCCACACATTTCTACTTAAAGCTGCTTTCTGGAGAATAAACGTAGAGCAAAACTTTACTGATTTGAAAACCCTGGGCAGTCAAAGACCAATTAATGAAAATTTTAGTTGAAGAATGACCAAGGAGGGCTGGGTAATTAGCTCAGTGGTTTTGCCGCCTGCTGCCCAAGCACAAGGACCCAAGTTCGATCCCTGGTACCAAAAAAAAAAAAAAAAATGTAATATAGAGCCCACATTTGCATTACA